CTCCATATACAAACCCAGCAGGCACAGCCTTTGCATGATGCTGACTCCTCCAGCAAAGGTATTAGTCTCCCTACAATGGTGGACAAAACTGGGAAATGTATGCATGGGCATCCCCTTCTATCAAAATTCCCCTGTGCTCATGCTCACGACAGATGCTTCCCTGATAGGCTGGGGAGCGCACCTGGGAGCTCACACAACACAGGGCTGATGGTCCCTGTCATAGATGCATCTGCACATAAATCTTCTAGAGCTTAGAGCAGTCAGATATGCCTGCCTTCGCTTTCTCCCTATCATAAGGAACAAATCTATTTGGGTCTTGACAGACAATATAACATGCATGTTCTACGTCAACAGATGGGGGTGGGTGGAAGGAGGGGTGCGATAGCACTCCCTATGCACAGAATCCATCCAACTATGGAATTGGTGCATACAACATCGCATAGAGATCACTGCTTTCCTATCTGCCTGGGTGTCAGAACACTACCGCCAACACACTCAGCACACACTTCTCACAAGAACATGAATGGGAATTGCACCCCATGATACTGTGACAGCTCTTCTCCCACTGGGGCACCCCGTCGGTAGACCTGTTTGCCACATCACAAAACTACAAATGCCATCTATTCTGCTCCAGAGTGGGACTCGGAACCGCGTCCCCCGGAGACGCATTCCTCATTCCGTGGAACAAGACACACGTACGCTTTTCCGCCCATCCCACTGATATGCAGACTCTTACGCAAGATCAAAGAGGACAAGGCCAGTGTCATACGTATTGCCCCAGCCTGGCCAAGACAAACGTAGTATCCTTACCTGCTGTACATGGCCATCCACCCTCCAAGAACTCTTCCCAACAGACTGGATCTGCTCTCCCAGGGCAACGGTCGGATTCTTCATCCGCAACTGCAGAAGCTCCATCTGATGGCATGGTTCCTTCATGGTTCCAAACACACGACCTAGCTTATTCGGAGCAGGTCCAACACGTCGTCCTGCACAGTCGACGAGACTCCACTCGTAAGACTTACCTTCAAAAGTGAAAACATTATACATTTTTTAACGATTACTACGTTAAATTTCAACTGCAAAATTAAAATAAAATAAAACTCCATATGGTGCTCCCACAGAAACTTGCCACACCATACCACGCCTCTCCCTGATATCTTGAACTACCTCTTACAACTAAAAAAAGATGGACTATCACTCAGCTCTATCAGAGTACACCTTGCGGAAGTTAATACCTTCCATGACACACTGGATGGGTTTTCAGTTTTCACCCACCCCATCATAAAAACGCTTCCTCACGGGCCTTCAAGACCTTTACCCTGAGATTCATCTACCTGCAGCTACCTGGAATCTGAACCTAGTTCTTCGGGGTCTTATGAAACCTCCCTTTGAACCATTGGCTACCTCCTCCAAACTACACATGTCCATGAAAGTAGCATTCTTGGTCTCCATAACATCGGCAAGAAGGGTATGGGAAATAAGCGCACTAATGGCCTACCCTATGTACACGATTTTCTTCAAAGACAAGATTACAATGCGACCCCACCCCAAATTTCTTCTCAAGGTGGTGTCCACCTTCCATCTCAATCACCCAATACACCTACCTGCATTCTACCCCAAACCTCATAAGAACCCACAGGAAGCGGCATTACATATTCTTGATGTCAGATGTGTAATTGCCTTTTATTTAGACAGAACTAAGGCATTCCGTAAAATCTCCTAGACTATTTGTGTCCACTACCGAATGATCGAAGGGTGCTGCTATTTCCAAGCAACGACTCTCCAAGTGGATTTCTGAATGCATTAGGTCCTGCTACCAGACCCAGAATGCTCAACCCCCAGAGGGCATCAGAACACACTCTACTAGAGCGATGTCAACATCGGTTGCATTCCTGCAAAACGTACCTATTACTGACATATGCAAGGTGGCCACATGGGCATCAGACCACACATTCACCAAACATTATGCTATCACACAGGACAATATGGCAGACGCCATAGTAGGCCACACAGTACTGTCCACTGTTATCAACGACGCAACTCCAAAGTCCCACCAACCGTAGTGGGTACTGCTTCACATTCACCTGGAGTGGAACACCCACAGGGACAGCACTCGAAGAAGAAGAGAAGGTTACTCACCTTGCAGTAACTGAGGTTCTTTAAGATGTATCCCCCTGTGGGTGCTCCACTACCCACCCTTCTCCCCTCTACTTTGGAGTATGAATCAGATGACTCTATGGTAGAGAAGGAATTGAAGGGGTGTGGGACGTGCATGCACCCTAACGATGCCACGAGGCAACAGCTGGGCGCGTGCGTCCCAACCAGGCACTGCTACTGAAGATCCCGATCAACAGCGCCAGGATGCACTGACACCTGGAGTGGAGCACCCACAGGGACAGCTGGAGTGGAGCATCCACAGGGACACACATCTCGTAGAACCTCAGTTACTGCAAGATGAGTAACCTTCTCTTCTGTGATCAGTTCCTATTTTTCTGTTAGGGCAAGGTCTAATATAGAATTCCCCTGTGTTGGCTGCAACACTTTTTGAGTTAGGAAATTCTCATCTATAATGTTTAGAAATTCCAAGGATGTTTTAATATTGGCAGCATAAGACCTCCAAAATATGTCATTCACATCAAAGTCCCTCATGATCATGCTGCTTTTTTTCCTACACAGTGTAGATAGACACATAAGGAGTCAGTCATTCTGTCTCTAGTGTGATTTGGTGATCTGTAGCAGACACTAACTAGTACCCTGTCTTATGCTTTATCTGTTAGGACATTGATCCAAATGCATTTAAGATCATTTTCTTCAGAGTTATCAGTGACTCGGAAACAGGTAATGCTATTTTTGACAGAGTGCCACTCTCCCTTCCCTTTTGCTCACTCGATCCTTCCTAAATAGCTTATAACCATTGATTTTAACATTCCAGTTGTGCAGATCATCCCACCAGGTTTCAGTAATATCAATGGGATTGAATTTATGTTCATAAATTAGCAATTTCAATTCCTCTGATTTATTACCCGGGCTCCTAGCATTGGAGTGTGAGCAATTCAAAAGAATTTCTTCTCTTCATGTCCTTTAGTTCTTTGATTAATTTTGTTTTCAACATCTTGACTTTGTGATAACTGAGTGCTCCTATTTTCCCTCTTTTTACCCTCACCTTGTTACTGTTTACTATTTATCAAGTTCTCTAAAACTCTGCTAAGTGCCTGATGGACATATACAGAGTTAAGTTCTCTGCTTTTTGTAGCTTACAGTTTTAAATATACAAAAAATGCAACAAGTAGGATCAGTGGGGAGGGGAAATAGGGAGAGGACATGGGTTACAAAAAAAATGTGATTGCTTAGTTTTATGTGCATGTCTTGAAGGTTCTTTAGAATGAACCTTTTATTACATGCTTTTGGGAACCTGACGGATAATAAATAATGAACTATTTTAGGTAAGTAGTCTCAAAACTGGTGATTCTGTGCAATATATAATTTAATTGCATCCATTCAGACAAAGCTCTGAAAGTGTGTAAAGTGATATAAATAGTACTTCAACATATATTTTTTTAAAAAGGAACAAAATTGTTGAGGGAAAATAGGTTTTTGAAGCAGCGTTTTCTTCCGAGATGCAGTAAATGGTTTGTTGAGATGTATTTTAGATCTATTTTTGCAGCGCATTTACTGATTTCACTGTGGAAAAAAAATGGGAATAGCACTATACTGCAAAGATTAATATTGAAGATGTATATTGATTACTCCAAACAGACATTTTTTCTTTTGAATGAAAAACAATTTGCTTGCCAGGGATGCTTTCTTAAGCTCTCACAACTTTAATAATATTTTGATTAAAGTAGTATTAATTATGTATTGTTTATTAAAACGGTGTCTTTAGCAAAGCTCTTTTCTTTGCTAGACCCAGTTGATAAGGGCAGAACAATTGAAAGTTTGTTTAATTAGACACAGAAGAGGAACTAATATTGATTTACTAAATGATGTTTTAAAAAGTGCTATTTGTTAAAAACAGAGATAGCAACTTGTTAAGAGATTATTTTTCTGCATAGTAAAACAAGAACATTACAAAGTCATCAATGCTATATATTTAAATAGGTCTATCCTTTTCAGTCTATCAATTTCTTACAATGTGAACAGTATGTTCAATTGGAACAATAGTCAATGAGATGGCCTGGCTCCGCTATTCACATACTGTGTCATATGTGTTAAAAGAGAGAAATCTGCTTCCTCCACATTTACAAAAGCAATTTTAAATGCTTTCGACTCATAGAGTGAAGCTCTATGAATAAATGAAGCTCTACTGAATGAACTGGTCATCACCTTTTAAGAAAACATTAGTACTGTTCCTCACGTTGTCCCCAGAATACATCATAGAATTCTAGTTATCTGCTGACTTTGCAAAATTTATGCTTGTGCAACTTGTGTAATGTGCAACTCTAAAGACCATCCCATATGTTATGTGACTGTTTCGCACGAACAGTGTGAACAACAGATGCATTGCATATTGATATAGGAGAGACATATCAGCAAATTCATTCTTAACTTCCAGAAGTAAACACCTTTGATGTTATAGAAATTATTGTATCTTCTTTACATCATGCTCTGTATAATCACCACTGCTTGCTTTAGGTAGTTACACCTGCATGTCAAGGGAGTATGCAGTAGACTGTATAGCGCTTAAATTCTAGGATGATGAGGGCTCTGGAAATGCTTATAGGCCCTGATTTTGCAAGTTACATAAACATCTGAATAGTCCCATCTTGTGCTTAAAGTTAAGCATATACTTAAGTACCTTGCTGAATCAGGGCGATGGAGAGGATATAGGGATAGAAGTATCTGTTCTTCTATGTTGCATAGTTTACTTACTTTTTTTAAATACCAATTTCTTTTGATACATTAAAACAATTCAAGATTAATGTTAGATAATTGTTTATTTTAACGTCTGTATACAGATCCTTTACAAATGATGCCTACAAACCCTGTTGTTGTTTTTCAAGGTGAAAATGGTTCTTGCCAAATTGTATGAGAATAAGAAAATAGCGAGTGCTACCCACAACATATATGCATACAGGTGAGTGAAGAGCAGAGAATTTTCAGCCTCAGTAACTTTGACCCTAACTATACATTAAGAGTATTAAGTTTTGTTATGGATAAACATACTCATAGAACCCATGAAGATCACAGATATAAAATAAAAATCAGAAATTGTGTTATAGGGTCGTATAATCTTCTTACAATGCATTTGGATTCAAACAATGCCTAAGAGTGATCTACAACTACAAGTCAAAAGTGTACACATTGATTCCATATGGTCTGAACATTACTAATCATTCTGAATCTACTCATACACCTTTGGAATGCTATTGGATGAACACAGTCCTTCCAGCAGAGTCCACTAATTCATCATGAAAATAGAAAGAAAAATAGATAGTAAACATTTTGGGACAGAAACCTCTTTTTTGTTTTATGTATCTGTATGAGACCCACATCCCTGACTGAAGTCCCAAGGCACTATTGCAATACAAATAATAAATAAGTATGGTACCGGAAATAGAGTGGGAAGAGAAATAAATATATATGCACACTCGCACACACCACATACATGTGGACAAAGCATGGTGAAGAGGGACATAGAGGACAGTATATTTAAAAGCTACTCAGGAAATGTCTAAAATCAGTTTGTGTGGATGGTACTCGGACAACAATGTTTTATCTCAGCCACGTTTCCATGGTCAAAATCCATTAGAGACACACTGCTTTGAAGATAATGTGCAATTACTGTATTGTACATATAAATAAAATATAAAGTAAAACATCCCATAAACTGTTTTCCTGGCCTACATTTAAATGTGTCCTCACTTCCATTTATTTTATTTTGATGATAAAATATTCTAGGCTGAATATTTGCATGCAGGGTTTTGGCTGATGAAGGTTATTTCCAGTTTTCCAAAAAGACACTCCAGTGGATTTGTGTGTGTTTGTTAAACTGTGTGTTTGTGTGCGTGTGAGAGAAACACATATACACAAACATACATTTTATGTATACTACTTGCAAAAAAATGACATTAAAAGAACCATTTTTAAGGTTGCAAAGTCAAGCACTGAAAAATTAGGAAATACCAGAATTTAGGTTGCCTGTCTTCATAGCAGGGTCTGAATAGTGTGCAGTAAATAAGGCCTAGCGTCACACACTGAACAATGAGGATGAAACAAAATATTGAACAGCTAGTCATTGAGTACTGTCCATCCTGTTCACTGAATAAAACGGGTCCTGTGGAAATGATGTCATCTTTTTTATTAAGAACTATATCATAATTCATATGCACCAGAGGGATGAATTAAGGTTGCACATTAAATTTCTGCTCATCCCTGGGCTGGAGTATGCCCAGTGTGAATGGAATCTTCAGAGGTTTTGCTGAGAAGGTCTAAGGCTGAACATGTGCCAATTGTGATTTTCTAAAAGGCTTATATCTTGACCAAATTTGGGCATATTTTAATGAGGATGACAAAAAGTACATCCTTGATGTAAAAGTCAGTCCTCTGCCAAATTTCAAGTCCGTTCTCCAAAACATGAGGACACTAGAGCGTCTCAAAAAAAAGGTCGCCAGAATTTTTGAATATGGGCAAAAAGTATTATTCCTTAGCCTTGATCTTGGAAGCAGATGAAGCATTTTGGCTGAAATTTTCCCCAAAAATTCAGCCAGAGGCAGACACCTGCCATGGAAACTTTCACCCAAATGGTAAAAATTTGGCAAAGTTATAAGTAACTGAAAATGGGGTCTTAATATGGGAAGTTTTGGGCAACCTTAATAAAGAGTGCTATCAGCAGCCCTACCTATCATAAACTCATTTCACATAGGCTTCATAGATGACTTGATCTCAGTCCAGATCCACATCACAAAAACCACCATCACTACAACTGATACTCACAGTTATCCTTTGTTGGCAGTCTTAGCAAAGAAGCCAATGATCTGAAACACCATGCAAGGAAACTGACCCAGACAGTTATATCTATTGGTGGTACGACCAAAGAGCAAAATGGTAGGAAGAGGAGGCTTGAATACCACCCATGCTATATCTGTCTGTGAACAGAATTTTTCAGTTTTTACTATTGCCAATATGACACCTCTCTCCGTCACTAGCTACATACACTTTAAACAAAACCAAAAATATCTTATTTTTACTTCATATTCTTCACCTGATGACACAATTCTCTTTTCGTGATTACATTGCTTCTATAATAACTGAGTGTGATGTTACAAACAAAGGTTATGAAATCAGTTTGGGTAACAAGTGGCATGATGCCAATTGTGTGGATAATTGTTTGGAACTAGACTGAGGCCATAGTCCTATCAAGATAAATCACCTGTTCCAGTGTGTACAGCTCCTACAGTGCCTGATGTGCAAGCCTCTCACGCATGACTAAGGCAACGATTATGTCATGGAAGTCACGGAATCTGTGACTTTCAGAGACTTCTGTGACATTTCTGCCCTGAGGCTGGAGCTGTCAGCAGGCAGCCTTGCACTCTCAGCTGCTGCTGGTGGCTGGCCCCTCAGCAGCTCCTAGACGCTGGGCAGCAGGGGGACCCCGGAGCTCCCAGCCCCTGTGGGTGGTGGGGGTCCCATGGAGTTTCCAGCCGCCAAGGGCGGCACAGGGAACCCAGAGCTCCCACTTGCTGCAAGCAGTGGGGCTCCCCACAGCTGCCCAGCTCTGGTGGGCAGTGAGTGACCCCAGAGCTGCCCAGCCATGGCAGATGGTGGGAGCCCCCCTTCAGCTGCTCAGCCGCAGTGGGTGGCGAGGGGTCCCCCTGCATCTGCTCATCCATGGTGTGCGGCGAGGCTCCCCCCCCCACAGTGGCCCATTTGGACCATCCTCCCTCCCCACTTTGTATCCGTGACAAAATCTGAGCATTACTCATGACACAACCTGCCCCAGAGCTGTTCCTGGATGCGAGGGAAGCCCCACAGAGCCAAAGAGTGGCCTGGGGAATCTGAGTTAAAACTCAGTCGTACTTTCAGATTGACAGTGAAATCATGACTCCACTGATGTCAAAAATAGTTTTACTAGAGTTCTGGAGGTTCTGTCTACACTTACAACGCAGCAGCAGCACTGCATCTGCACCACTGTAGTGCTTCAGTGTAGATACTCACTACTGCGACAGGAGGGGTTCTCCCATCACTGTAATTAATCCACCTCCCTGAGAGCTGGTAGGTAGGTTGACGGAAGAATTCTTCTGTCGACCTAGTGCTGTCTACACCAGGGATTAGGTTAGCATAGCTACATCTGTACGTGGATTTTTCACACTGCTGAGAGATGTAGCTATGCCAATGTATGTTTTCCGTGTAGACCAGACTTGAGACTCCCTTTCTGATCTATAACTTCTACCTGCACTGTCATGTAACTCGGTTCAGCTAAACCTAGTTAGGCTCAGAACCTAAGGATTTGTTTAAACTAGAGTTTTTATCTCAGGCTAATTGGTTGCCTGTTAACCTGATGTGGTTAATGCTTTTGTAGAAACAAGGGTAGACACTCCCCAAATGTTTGTTCTGTGGTACAGATAAATGTTTGTGATGTACTCTAATGCTAGACTAAGGTAAACCACAAACAATTGTATTCTCAAAATAACATTTTGACATTCTGCAGGGGACCCATAGGAAAAAAAGGTGTGTTTTTATTCTGTATTAGCTAACACTGGGTAATTAACACATGGAAAACTCTTAGCATGGACAAGGCAGTTCGTAGTTCTCACATGTGTTTGCAGGTTGAGGTAAACATTATGGTGGGGGGCCTAGGGTTTACCTCAACCGGCTAATGTGTGAAAATTACAACGGCCTTGTCCACACTAGAATTGTATCACATTAGTTGCTATTTGTTAGCTAACACATGGTAGAAACCCCACCGTTTTCACAGTAAAGACAAGATGTAAGTCTTAGGCTCCTTCCAGGTGCTGGGGTGGGCATCTGAGAGCCAAGGCAGGGATCACAGGAGAGATAAGAGCTGGTTTGTTTGTATTATTTGATTTAGTGTTTAATATCTGTTGAGCTGCATATAGAGAATGTGGCCACAGATTCTATTAGTTTGTTTTATTTTGGTCACATTAAAAAAGTTGTAAATAAATTCAGAACTCTGGTGAGGGTTTTCTTTGCTTAGCTTGGGACTTCAGATGAGTTTCTGTCCATGTGAGTCCTAGTCCTATCAGACAGAACAGTCATCAAATGCTAATAACTCTCTACTGACCTGGATGACGTGAGCCAGTGTCCAAGAAGTGAAAAACTATGCTTTCCATCACCAACCTCCTGAGACATTCAGTCCCTACAGATGGGGTCTTAAGAAACAGGAATCCTGTTTTCATGCAGATGTCCTTGGTAAACAAAGTTGTTGATTACACAGTGTTTATGAAAGTTTTTGAAGATATCAGTAATTCTGTATGTGATAGGTTCCCCCTGGGGTGCCACTTGGAACTAGGGTACCACTGAGCCTGCCTGACCAACCAGCCTGGGCTTCCTTTTTCACTGTGGTGCTGTGATAAGTTGCCAAACTCTTCAAGCTTGCTCTTTCATCAGCATACGCTCAGATAGGGACACACCCTGCTGCAGCTTCACACACACATGCCGAGATTAGCTCTGCATGAGAAGGCTTAGCTAAGGCACCTTCCCGTTGCTAAGGCACACACTCCCCTCTGGAGTGTAAACCCAAAATTATACCGTCTTGTGCTGCACGGGGAACTGTAGAGCGTAAGCTCATAAAATTCGCCCCCTCTCTCAGTGTGGCGAGAGAGAGATGCAACAGTTTTCTGCCCCAAGTTATAATTTCCACACGCTGGTTTTAGACAAAACAAAAACAAATGTATTAACTACACAAGGATAGATTTTAAGTGATTATAAGTGATAGCAAACAGATCAAAGCATATTACCTTAGTAAATAAACAAAACTGCAAACTGAGCTTAACACACTAGATAGGTAGGATATGAATTAGCAAATTCTCACCCTGATGATAAACAGGCTGGTAGATTCTTAAGGCACAAGCTGCCTTGGCTTTCCCAGGTTTTCATACACAGGCTAAAAATCCCTCGAACCTGGGACCATCACTTTCCACAACTCAGTCCTTGTCCCTCAGGTGTTTCCAGGGAGAGTGAGGTACCATCATGATGTCATTGTCCCCCTTTTATATCTTCTTCCCACTTGCTTGAAAGCTCTTTTGCTGTGACCTGGCTCAAATAGTTCCCATTGTGTAGTGCTATTTCTGAGAGGTTTCTGGGGTAATACTTGTGCTTGTGTGCATTTCCTCAACAAGCCATTAAAATTGGCCTTTTTACTGTTGAACCTGAAAGGCTGCTTGTGGGTGTTTTCAACTTAACAACATGTTTCAGTAACACATACATAGCCAAACTTCATAACTTCACATACGATGATAGCATATACAATCCAACGAGATATTACTGTCTAGCAGATCAAGACTTTTAGAATGATACCTCACAAGGCATACTTTGTACAAAACATATCCTAATTACATGACAGTGGTGAATATTGGGGTGTGCCAGGGTGTCATACTGTAAAAATATTAAGTGATTGATATTTTTGAATTAGGTTCTAATACTGTTGCTTGTTTTCAGAATATACTGTGGGGACAAACAGACGTACTTACAGGATTGTGAAGATGATGGGGAGACAGCAGCAGGTGGACGCCTCCTCCATCTTATGCAGGTTAAAGGAAACAAACTTTGTCTTTAGATAGTTTTAAATGTGTTTTAAAAATCATAGATCATAAATAAGGCTCACAGCTTTACGCACTTAAGCTGATTCTAATTCTTGCTCTGCAAATAGCCCTGTAGATTTAGTATTCTGTATATTACCTGGCTTTAAAAAAAGTAGTTCTATTAGGTAATGATAGACACACACCAACTCCCCGGTTCTCAGAGCATTCCCTGCAGTGTCCAGCCCCTTATCCACTGAATACTCATTGAATTTTCAGGCCTGCTGTTCCCAAAGGAACAGTACAAACCAGCCTGTAAGATTCTACTTAGGACCATCACTTTGCTTAACACCACATCAATTAGATATTTGAGAGTGTTATTCTGTGTAAATGAGGAAAGCATAGTTCCCAGAGGAAAGAAAAGTGTATGAGCACTTGAGTAATAGCTGTTCATAAGTTTATTTGTAGCTCTTCAGTGAGATCTCTTGACTTCCTGCTTAAACACACTTATGACTGATCATGTAAATTGGGAAATTCACCCACTTCTGCTCTTTTTGTTGTTTTAATCTTCATTTGGGGGTTTGCAGTTTTTGCAGGTTAGTATATCATTTGCAGTCTAAGCAGTCTCTATTCTACTGAAACTTGATGAGGCAAGAAGTTAAACCATAAATTCTACTTTGCATGGTGACAGGTTTCAGAGTAGTGGCCGTGTTAGTTTGTATCAGCAAAAAGAACGAGGAGTACTTGTGGCACCTTAGAGACTAACAAATGTATTTGGGCATAAGCTTCTGTGAGCTAAAACCCATTGGATGAAGTGGGTTTTAGCCCACGAAAGCTTATGCCCAAATACATTTGTTAGTCTCTAAGGTGCCACAAGTACTCCTCGTCTTTTTTCATAAATTCTACCTATCTTTTTTTTAACTCTTCCATATTCTTATAGCTGCTCTATAGGATACTCCACCCAAAATGACAAGATAGACTAAATTAACCTCTACCACTAATAGAACTGAACAAAGTATTATACTTCATGCCTCAGGAGGAGGATTGGACTCTATGCAGTAACTATACTATGGCTCATCCTTCCCCATTCTCATGAAGAATGAATAAAAATAGTTTTGAGGAAAGTGTAGTGTTTGTATTGCACCATTTTTTAAAAAACAACAACCCCAGCTCTTGCACAACTTGGGCATAGTTCTTTATCACTGAGGTTCTAGTGCTATGATCATATCACTGTGTTCTAGTGATATGATCGGTGAAGATGTGGTCTTCTCTTCTGTAGGATTCTTATCTTGTCTAAGATAAACTAAAACCACTTCAATCAAGATAGTACTTTCCAGTTAGAAGAAACAATATTTTAGACTCACTTTTTAGATTTAAAATGATAGAGAGCTCAAAAATTTCCTAATGCTATTTGGCATCCTGCTTACTATGAAGAATTGATATCCGGAGTTGCTTTGCTAGAGTTAATTCACTGAGCTCACAAGTGTTGTATAAGTATATTGTGAAACATGAACTATATTGAAATTGTCTCAACGCTTCTTTTGTAGATAGCCCCTTTATTCATTTTTATTCTGGAATTTTTATTGAATTCTTGTTTCCACATACAAAGGCAGAACAATTTGACAATATTTTTACAATTACATAAATAAGGTTTCTCTGTATAAATTGCCATATAAAACATATCTATCTGGGCTAGGTAGCGATAGTTGAGCCATTGCAGGTGAATTTGTGTTGGATTGCTTGTATCCATATATGTTTTCCATTGGACAACTTCCAATTTTATGCCTGAGTTGCAATACTGTAACTACTGAAGTTCATGGAGTTATACCTAGGGGTGAATTGGGTTCATTATATTGATCATTACCTGCAATTTGGTCCAGGCTCCCTGACTGATGCTTTCCATCTCTGCTGGCAATTGGCTCTTCTGTACACGTTTCCTCTGATCCCGATCATTCCATAGGTCATCTTCAAGCTGAAAGTGGATCAGGTCAAGCTCATCCTCATTGCCCTGGCATGGCCAAGCAGTGTTTGGTTGTATGACCTTCCTGATTCAGCCTCCCATATCCCTTCCTCTCCCTCCTGACCTCCTCATGCAGAATCACAGTCACAGCGTGCACCCTGTAGTCAGCTCTCTTCCATCTCACTGCGTGGCTGCTTCATGGTTGAATTAGGAGAAAGAGCATTGTTCAGCGGCTTTCAACAGGTTCTATTCAACAGTGGAAAGTCCTCTACCAGAATTGCCTATTTGGTGAAATGGAAATGATTTTCTATGTGGTTGTCGGCCTGCAGAGCTCAACTGATGCTGGCTTCTATCCAGTACTTCCTGCATCATTGGTTGCTGGGCCTTGTGCTTAGCTCATTGAGAATGCACCTGGTGGCAATTTCAGCATTTCATCCCCCTATTCCTGGAAGATCAGTCTTTTCCAATGCAATGGTAGCAAGATTCTTAAAAGGGCTTCTTCGTCTCCATCCTCCAGTCTGAGAGCTGGTTCCTCTGTAGGACCTTCACACAGTTCTGGCAGCCGTAGTGGGACCTCTGTGAGCTTCTGGCATCTTGTTCCTTTCCGCTTTTGTGCGAGAAAACTGTGTTACTGGTTGTGAGAAAATCTGCAAGTAGAGTCTGCAAGTTGCAGGCTCTGATTGCAGTAGCACCTTATACACAGTTCTCCAAGGACAAATTGACTTTACAGCCGCACCCAACATTTTTATTGAAAGTGGCCTCTTGGTTTCATTTGAACCAGGCAGTATATTTACCTGTGTTTTTTCCTAAGCCGCATTCATCTCTAGAGGAGCAGCATCTCCATACATTAGATGTCAGGTGATGTCTAGCCTTCTATCTTGACAGGACTAAACCATTTCGTGCTTTGCCTCACCTGTTTGTGTTGTACGGGGATCGTATGAAGGATCGAGCAGTCTCTTCACAAACCATCTTTAGATGGATAACATCCTGTATCAAGTCTTCATATGAAATAGCTTCAACTACACCCGCTGAGTGGGTGTGAGCTAATTCTACGAGAGCGCAAGCAACGTCAATAGTGGTCCTTGATGATGTTTCAATATTGGACATTTTCAGGGCTGCCATATAGTCGTCCATACATACATTTATGAACCATTATGCCATTACCGCATCTTCCAGAGCTGATGCAAACTTTGGAAGGGCAATCCTGGAATCCTTATTTAGATAGACTCTGCCTCCTATGGGTACTGCTTGTGAGTCACCTAAGTGGAATAAATGGCTGCATCTACTTAAAAAAGAAGTGGTTACTTACTGTCACTGGTTCTTCAAGATGTGATGCAGACGTGTATTCTATAACCCACCCTCCATCCCCTCTTCATCCGAGTCTAGTGTCTGGGCTTTCAGTGCTAAGGAACTGAGGGAGATCGAGGCGGCACAGCCCCATATAGCCAGGGGAGGGGCTATGAGCCGGAGGCACAAGCACTGCCTCCTACAAGTACTGCTAGGCAAAATTCTCTGGCTCCAGTGCACTTATAAAAAGAGAATGGGGGTGGGGGGGGAGTAAAGCGGAAAGATACATTTAACTTAACTGAAAAACATAGGGACTGGGAAAGGGTATTTTTGAGGGACAAAAGAGGCAAATGGCCAATAATTGCCTTATCTTTCTGTTTGAGTGGAGAGATGAGAGTCAAGTCCTCCTCACCAGAAGTATTTTTTCAGGGTGTGAAGAGAACCTAACTCAGACGTGAAGTCCTCCTTACCTTTAATGTCTTCTCCATGTGCTATTGTTGCTGCCCTGCAAGTGGCAGCAGCCCAGGCCTGGAGCATTTCTGAAAAGCATTCACCTGGACTATGCCCCACATGCATGTTCTGAGAACCAGCCCAAGACAATTACCTACCCTAACCCCCACAGTGTTTCAGGATAAAGTTAAAAATGCAGATAGAAGCTCTGCTCATGGGGCAGGGATTCAGACCTCAATACAAATAGTAACTAAAAATGCATAATATTTAAAAATAATAAATGTGAATCAACAAGTATCCCTTTAATAATATCCCTTGCAAGTTCCTTTGGGAAAGAAAAAGCTTTCATTATACAAAAGAAACTAGTTTCACTGTTGACTTATGTGTTTATCTATTTAAAATAATGTTCTGGGTTTTTTTTTTAAACAGATTTTGAATGTCCGTAATGTTTTGGTTGTGGTATCCCGCTGGTATGGAGGTATCCTGCTAGGACCAGATCGCTTTAAACACATCAACAATTGTGCCAGAAATATACTAGTGGAATACAGTTATACAAATTCAGCTGTAAGTTATTACCGGTAGATTGACAATGTCAATATCTGAACATATAGGGCCATGTACTCAATTTGTGTAAATTGTCAGAGTTCAGCTGAAGTCAATGGAGCTAGGACAGTTTACACCAGCTGAGGATCTGCCCCATGGTAATTTTTGAGTGCTTATGCTAAACTTAAGAGCTCAGTTAAAAAGATTCCGTCACTACTTTTCTCCTTATTAAGATTCCATAGACTCCCCTTTGTTTTCCTACTTCTTTGGAATTTTCCCTTGTGTTGTGTAATTTTGGTTTTATTGCTTGTTAAATGTAAAAGTGAAAAAAGAAAAAACGTTAATTTGTAAATACCTGACTGACTTACATGGGTAAAGACTATGACGTTAAAGATCCCCAAGTTAGAGTACGTGCCTGATAACCAAATTCATGATAGGCACCATCATGGGACATATCCTCAAATGACCCTGAGATTGAGTGAGGCCAAGTTCTAGTCCCATTGAAATCAATGGAAGCTTTCACATTAATTTCAAAGAGGTCAGGATTTGGTCTGATATTTATATCTGGTTTTTTTAAACACCTCATTTGTTCTGATACACTGTATGAATCTCAGGTTATTTAACTACAGTGAGCTGTTTTTCAGAAATGATACAGTTCACTGTACGATGATTGTACAATTCAACATTTTTGATGCTTTATCAAAGAGAAAGCAGCTCTCAGAAGAAATTTATATGGACAGAAAAACATGTAAACAATTCATAAACAATAAAACACCAAACTTTCCCCTTTTTAAAACTAGATTAGAAGAATGGAAATCAAGAACAAAGAAAAGACTAAGGGTAAAATTTTTCACAAGCACCTAAGTGGATTGACTTTGAATGGGACTTAGCCTCCTACATCACTTAGTTGCTTTTGAAAATGTTTACCTTACCGCACTATACAATACTGATATAAACATTTTACAGCTTGATAACAAACCACCTGGTGGTGTTGCTCTCAAGTCCAGGGTGAAACTATATTCCCTCTCCTATATCTTCCCTTAACTGCCCACACTCCTGCTTAGCACAGAATCCCAGCAATAAAATGCATATGATTTTAAGTAGTCTTCCAGAGTAACATTCCAATTTGGGCATTACTCTTAACAGGGCCATAAAAAAGAGGAAGGTTGAGCTTATGGTTAAAGTCTCTAATTTGTAGAGCCCTGCGAGGATACACAAATGTGTATCCGCATCCGATCCGCAAAAATTATCTGTGGATATCCGCATCCGCGCATGCGGATATCTGCACATATCCACGGATTAGCAGGGCTCTACACCGGGGGCCAGGCTAAGGCTCCAAGGCATCCCCCCCGCCAGAGCCTGGCTGGGGAGAGCCGTGTGGGCAGCTGTGGGGAACCTGCGCGGAGTCCCGGACGCTCCACCTGCCCTCGGCCGGGCAGAGAGCCTGGGGGGCGGGGACATGGCTGTGGGCTGCTTTCAGCCCCCCACCCCTGCACCGTGGGCAGGTGGGGGTCCACTGCGACTCCCCACGGCTCCCCGGTTGGGCTCCATGCTGGCCTGGCCAGGGGAAGGGGGAAGACCTGTGGAGCTGCCCGGGGGCTGCTCGGGCCTCCTGCCCAGGGGAGGCTCTTACTGTGGCCAGGCAGCAGCTTCGAGCCACTCCCCTCCCCAGCTGGAGTTGGGTTGGGTAGAGTTGCGCTGGCAGCTGTGGGGAGCTGCTGCGGACCCTCCACCTGCCCTGGGTGGGGAGCCCCAAGCAGCCTCCGACCCGTGTCCCAGCCCCCCGCCCAGAGCAGGTGGAGGATCTGTGCCGCGGTTCCTCACAGCTGCCTGCCCGTCTCTTACCGTCAGAGCCCTGCACAGATACAAAATTTGTATCCTCATCCGTGCTGCTATCTGCAAAAATGGTCCACGGATATAAAGCAGATACCTCTGGATTTGCAGGGCTCTACTAATTTGAAGTCTGGTGATCTGAGTTCTGGTCCTACCTCTGCGCAGACTCCCTGTGTGACCATAAGAAAGTCTCTTAAACTTTTCTGGGTTTTGTTTCCTGATCTGTAAAGTTCAGATAATAATTCTTACTTATGTAATACATTGTGGTAAGCAATAGTATTTGCTCATACAGGATGAATTAATATTTGCAAAGTACTGAAATAGAAGTTATGTATAAACAGAGGCGCCGACTTTCTAATGTGCCGAGGGGCGGGAGGGGAGGTGCTCGACTCCCTGGCTCTGCCCCACCCCCCGGCTCTGCCCCACCCCCAGCCCCCACTCCACCCCTTCCCTCAAGCCCCCACCCCGCCTCGCCTCTCCTCACCTCACCTCACCTCCACCCCGCCCCGCTCCACCCCACCCTGCCTCTTCCTGCCCCGTTCCGCCCTCTCCCCTGAGCGCGTACCGCCCTTACTCCTCCCCCTCCCTCCCAGTGCCCCCTGCACACCGCGGAACAGCTGATCACGTGAGCAGGATGCGCGGCGAGGGAGGGGGAGGAGTTGATTGGCGGGGCCTCCAGTGGGTGGGAGGAGCTGGGGCGGGGGAATCTGGCTGCACCCACCATTTTTGAGCAACCACGGAGTCGGCACCTATGTGTATAAGTACTAAGTATCAAAATTATATCCTTCTCTAATTTTCCCAAACAGTTCAAATATTGGAACTTCAAGTTCCCTACCTCCGGCACCTTACCATCCATGCCAGCTTCTCCTGTCTCTTAATGTTTCTGTTCCCTTCCTCCTCTTCACTCTAGAAGATATAAATCATGTTTGTATATATGCATGTATGTTTATGATATGCAATTGCCGACTCTAAAAGGATCCAGACACTTGGAACCAATTGTTTAAGGGATACTTCAAAAATCACACTTTTTGCATGAAACTTTTCTCTTATTTCTGATACAAAGTACATCTAAGATGGTTATAACTGAAAGAGATAAGAATTTTCTTTCCCCCTTTTCTGTTTATTTGTGCATTTCACAGCACTTTGTGTATCTTGAATTTCACTGTTTCCTTCTACGTATAGTCAATCCATTTCCTCTCTTTTGCGTGGGTTGTGGATTGTTCACACAGCAGCAGGGGAGAGAAAAATATTTTTTTTAAATAGGAAAATGTGATTGTAAAACAAAAAATTGTCCTCAGGGAGTCAGGATTTACTTTTGGTGCGTTTTTTTTAATGACTTCATTTCAGATTGACTCGGTTCCTTTTAAGGCGTGTGTAATTTGATCTGCTTTGTAGAGGTTAACATCATTCAGTGAAATGTTTATCAAATGAATGCTAAAGATACTAGTACTGTAGATAGCAATTGTGGTTCTTGGAAAAGTGTTCTTTTTTGCTAATTGTCTTCAGCGTAGTAATCAAGATGCAAAAGTACTCTTTAATGTGTTCCACTAATGAACTTTTCTGTTTCATTTTAAAAGCTAGTTTCCAGTAAAGGATCAAAGGCATTTTGTAAATTATGCATAAAATGTGAGAATTGCATGCCAGTAGGAAGGCAACAGGTTTTTACAACAGGTTCAGATGTGTTTGATACTTATGCCAGACGTGAGAAACAGGAGGCCCTGCATAGTGGTCAGCTTGTAAACAGTGTGTGTTGATTTGAACACGGAAACAGTGAGACACAGACACCATAATGTGATTAAATGTGGACGCTGTATTTTTATTAACAACTCACACCATACTAGGGTAAGCCACCCCACACCCCAATGTATTATAAACCTGAACATGAGAGTGAAGGCCACCCTTAGGTCTGCCAGGCACCCCAGACTGGAAGCTAGAGTCCTGACCCCCTCCTTTCCTCCACGCTGGAGGTAGGAGACATGAGATGAGGGAAGTCACAAGCTCCATGAGACAGATAGGCATACCCCCCTGGCTATTCCATGAAAGTGCTCAGGACCAATGCCCAGGCAGCCTGCTGGGCTTAGGGCCTTTAATTGTACCCTTCCTAATCCACCAGCCACACCAGATCACACCAAAGTTATAACAATTGTAATTAAATCTGCCAGAGCCAAACCTCCTGGATGCCATGTGGAAGGTGAAAAAACTCACACAGCAACTTGCTAATTTCACCAGGTGGGGAAAAATATCCCCTCCAGAACGGGCAGTCAGGTTAGCCCCTGGCATCAGAGGAGGTCCAGCATTAGTAGCTTAAACGTGGGGCTGAAACAGAGAGCCTGCAAGGCTTCCCCACCTGGGAAGCAAATCTTGTCACTCCCTTTCCCCCACTGCACCAGGTGGGAGCCAATCATCCAACCCTGCACCCTTCCTCCGTCCACCTACCCAGTGGCAGCAGGAATGAACCTGTCATGCCCCACAGCTTGGACACAGATGCAACATGTAAGTCCTCCACCCTTGGGAGAGGCAGCTTGGGGAAAGGGAAAAAAGGAGAAGAGTGAAGCATCATCCCTCACCCACCAGAGATGAGGGGGAGTGTGGGAAGCAAGGGGGCATATGGAACACTGCATTAGCTGCTTCTGGTTGAGAACTGTCTCCACTGCTCCTGCCTCTACCAAAACCCCAGCTGGCCATTGGGGTGAGCACTTCCTTTCTTTTTTGGTCCCGAAGTGCAAGACAGTGAGTGAAGCACACATGTTGATCCACTCCCGATTAACACAGTGTAACTTCAATGAAGTCACACCAGTGTGAAGTTATTTATTATATCTATCTTATCTGTTCATTCAGCTCTCTTCCTTAGTATCTGTGTGCTTATTGGGGTGGTGCCCAGAGCCCCCAGTTAGGTTCAGTGGTCCATTCTGTTAGTTGATGTACAAACAGAGGAGGATAAGATCCTTGCCCTGAAGAGCTTAGCTGTTGTAAGCGAGGTCAGAGCCAGGGCGATAATTCCTTTTGTAACTATGAATATAGGTTTTAGAGTTGCTCAAGGCAAACATTTACTAAATAAGCAAGTTAGCTTGTTAAATATCCAAGTCTGAATGATCACAAAATCTCTGAATTATGAATATTTTAAACTGATTACACTATTAAGTGTAGTGTAGTGAGTCACCTCAAAAGAATGTTAGCAATGCACAGAAAAGCAAGGTGGACTTTACTAGAAGGCAAGAGATTACTGAAATCATACTTGTGTGATTTTTTTTTCTTTCAGGAAGAATCATCTAAGCAATTGGGAAAGAACAAAAGAGTAAGAAAGGACAAGAAGAGAACTGAACATTAATTCATTTAAAAATAACAAAAAGTTTAGTTTACACATATTTATATTAAATTAAACATGATCCTCAGAAATATATATTTTTATTCAGAAAAAAATTCAACAAGGACTTAGAAATATTTTCTTTCTGTTCTATGGTTGCCTCAGCAGCTCTGGAATGGAGAGCTTAAACAAATGAGTTTTCCATACTCTCATACTTTTAAACTGGGTCCTGTGCATACCCAGAGCCTTTTTTTTTTTTGTCAACTACAGTTGATTCAGGCAGAACATGGATTAACTGGCCTCCATACCATCAGGTCACTAGTCAAGTGCCTGTCTTGTACTGGGACTCAGTCAGCAGGGTTCTTCAACATTGGGATGAAGACATGAAAACTTTGGTAAAGAATATTGTCTTTTAAAGCTTTCTGTACCTAAGAAAAAAAGCAGATAGGCTCTCTGGTGTATCTAGTCCTTGAGCATACAATTTGGAGTCTGCTTGATGGAGTCTCAAGAGCTATCACGAAGAAAACAAAAGAAAAGGTGGCAATCCACAGACTATAAAAGTCACTTTGTCAATCCATTGAGAATTTTGTTGCATGTGTGTCAGGCTGAAACCTGTGTAGGTGAAGCGCCCTAAAATTGGAAGAACCAATGTTTTTGAAACAGGAAACAGCAATTTTGAAATCATCATGTATTGCACCTAATAATGAATATTAAATATCAAGTATCTGTACAAGTGGTTCTGTTTTGTTAATTGTGTAGAATCTTTCATGCCAATAATTTTTCCTCTTTCATAGAACTTCCAGATTTCTCTCTACTATACTGCAAATTTAGGTCTTGAGCCTGCAAAGGGAGTCAATGGGATTCCTCTTATGCATTAAGACTTGCCATGTGGATCCTGAGGTTTTTTTCCTGTATCTCTCACTTGCAGGGATGTACTCAATTAGCTGAAGGTCTTTTTCATCTCTAACTTTTATGATCTTTAATTGCTAGGGTTGATAATTTCTATTTGAGTTCTAACAATAAAGCCACTTTCATAGGCTTGGTCCACATTAGAAAATTTTAGTGGTATAGCACTGTCAGTGAGAGGTATGCTTTTTTTTTAACAGCATTTCTATATCAGCAAAAACCTTAGTGTAGATGTAGTTGTATCAGGAAAAAAAAGTGCTTTGACAGTATAGTTTATTTTGCTCACCAAACTGATATAAAATATACCAGCAAAAGCACTTTTTTGCTAGTATAATTTGAATCTGCCCTTAAGTTGCTGGTACAGTTATATCCACAAACATTTTCTACCATAGACCTGGGCTGATTAAACTAGCTACACCAGAGTGTCACACAGCAATGGAGAAATCTCATAACCTGTTTAGTCATACTAAAGTTATGCATAAGTCATTTAGTGGGCCGATTTCCGAAAGAACAGACCACCCACAGATCCCTTTGCAGCTGTTTTGTTATCTTACAGATGGATTAATTTAAAGCCAAAAATACTGTCCTTTACTTCTGGTAAACTGTTGACAAATATTCCCAATATTCCAGTGTTTTCCTCAGAGGTAGAAATCGCTCCAATTATTTTATGTAAAAATAGGTTGGGCTTCAGATATTTTACAAACACTATCGATTCCAGTCCCATGATGATATGTATGTTTCATTCACTCCTTCCAAAATGCACACTTTAGCTTATGTTTTCAAAAGTGACTAGTGATTTTAAGCGTCTAAGTTTTTAGATGCCCAAATTGAGATACCTTAAAGGGGTCTGATTTTCAGAAAATGCTGAGCCCGTACCCCCTAAAAAGCACGTCCCTTTCTGGAGTATCAAGTTCGGCACTCCAGAATTGAGGAACTCATAATCCTTGGTCACTTCTAAAAATTAGGTCTATATTCCTCCTAAAATAAACTATAACAAATCAACCCTCAAATTGAAGGAGATTGGAAAGCAGACTAGCAAAGCCAAGAGACTTGAGAATCCTTAGGAAAGGTTGACATGGAAGTCTCTACCTTAGAGCTGTTCAAATAATACTAAAAATGATTTGCAGATATTTTAGTGAATAAATGTGGTAACTTTGCTAAGCTCTTATTCATGGTGTCATATGGTTTGTTGTTTGAATACCTGGACCAATGCCAATTTATTTATGAAGATGTTAGAGAATCCCAAAAGCTCCATGAATTTTTGCCCAAATAATTATTCAGCTGAAAATTCAGATAAGTGTTGGTTGCCGTTTATTTTCCCATTACAAAAGTTTGTCAACGAATCAGTGAGCAAAAACAATCCCTTTTAATTGAGGTAGCAAATAACATCTCTGAGAGCAAATAGTCAAAATGACAGTATGTATGTGTTTGTGTAACCACTGGTGTGTAAATCCCCTTTTGTGCCAGTCCAGAGAATAGACGACTTGTTACAGCAGCCAGCTACTGAGCCTTGTCTCTTTAGCTCAAGCAGCTCCTGCTTTTAGCTCTGGACGTTCCCAGTTCAGTCCCCTTTGTGTCACCTCCAGGAGGGTGGCCATCATGCTTGCATTTGTTTCTTCTGCAAGAATGTTAGCTGTTGGCAAACTACCTCTTCTGGACTGATAAGATAAGAGAAGTTATATCCCCCTTTTTAAAAAGTATTTTTCTAATTTAAAGCTGCCTTGATTGAGAACAAAGTTTTACTTGTAGCTTTCCACAAAACGCTTGTTTTGCAACATAGCATGAGAGTAGATTTTTGTTCCAAACATTGTGAGAAATGCTCCAATGTATCTTACAGACAAAGAACTTGTGTTCCCTGTGATACTTTGGACTGCTGACAGACCTTCAAGGGGATTGGGCTCAATCATTTGGTTGCATACAACTGTCTCTTCATTGGCCTTTAAAGCATAGAAGGGCAGCCTAGGTCAGATGTCAAAAGGTTTAGGATTGATGTAGATATCAAGACAAGTGAGATGTTTATTGAAATCTGACAGTGAAGATGTGCATGGTGTTCAATGATACTCAGCTGGAGTACAAGTTATGTAACTCTGAGAATGTGCTGTTTAATGTGCTAGTAAATTCTAGATGGATGTCAGTTTTGTTCTGATCAATAAATTATAGGGAACCTTTCTAGCTTTAATCTCTCTAGCCAGATAGTCTGTTAGTTTTTACAGCTCTGATGCAATCCAACTTCTTGTGATTTTGAGATATGGCTATGGGCAATAAAAGGCAAAGTTATGGTCTGTAGTATGCGCCCGTTCAGAGATGTACAGGGGAGTAAGACACACCCTCTGTCTCTTCTGTGTGAGATAAGGATATCTCAGGGAACAGCAGCCTCTGCAAGGCTGATTCCCCCCCATCCCATGCAGATTGGCAGGGAATGGATGAAGATTTCACCCTACCCTTTCCATGCCAGTTTAGCTGTACCGGCCAGCATGTGGGGAAACAATCTGGGTCAGGGATAGGGTTGGCACAGTGTAATCTCCCACCATGGAGCACGGGATGAAAAAGGCAGTATGTTGAGACTGAGTCAAAATTTGGTCCCTGGTCTGCCCCTTAAGTCATCGGGGCTTTTGGCAAAGACACAATCTAGTCCAAGATAAATGGACGTTCCTATATTTCACCTTAATAGTGAAACATTTTATTATCTTAATTAGGTGAATTTCAGTATCCTAAAGTAATAGCCCAAAACATTGCAGTAGTATTACTTACATTGCAAGCTGTAGTGCTTTGGAACTTAGCTGCAAAATATTACAGTATTTTCGTAAGGGTTTGGATGGATGCATTTAAAAATTAACAAAACAAAATTAAAATACAGCACAATGCTCCCCCTCTGAACACAACAATGCTTCATTTACTATGGGATCACCTAGATTTAAACAAATCTTGTAGGACTTTAACTGGAAAATAGGATCAAACAAGAAGAAATGTGCAAAAGTCATTCTAACTCCTTTACATTAAAACCCATTATCCAAATATATTTTATACTTCTAATAAAATATAATGGTGCTTTTAAATAAGCAAAGAAACTAAATGCTGTTAAATGTCCCCTACCACTGTAATTCAGATACCAAATTATGGAGTAAATACATATTTCCTCCAATAAATGTGAAAGGATTTTCCAGCAGGCTGGAAAAATTGAGTGATCTGTTTATCAGAAGAAAATTCAGAGAGAGAAATTAATATGGCATTAATCACTACTTAAGTCATTAAATACAGCCGCCTCCTCCATATCAATATGCCCATAAAAGGGTGCAAACAGCAGTTGGAGAACAGAGGGGGAGAAGGGTGCTTTAATATGTTTTTATTATTTTGATTGCAATGACTTTGCTGTATTGGAAGCAAATCAGACTGCACCTGAAACCCAATTGACCACTCTAGGACCCCGAAGTGCCTAGAAACAGTATCTGCATTCCTTTTTCTAGGTGTTTAAATTGAAAATTTAAATGCTGTCATTCTGCCAACAGCCCCTCTGATAAGGATTTTTAAACAAACAAACAAACTCAACGTTGTTAGAAAAGTCTTTTCTATCAAAATGCTGGGTTCTCCATGAGCCAAGGTGAATTCAAAAGGAATGACAGAATACTGAGAGCTAGTTCCTGCTAGTCTTATAAACGGCCAGATGGTTTGCAGGATGCGCTTTGATTACCCTCAGTGCAAAGTTATTTAGGTTGGAAAAAAAAAAGCATAAAACATTTAATTCAACACTCCTACCATGTACTCAGAATTTTTCAGTACATAAATCTAAAAAGGATTAGTTCTTAAACCATTTTTATTTTTTACAGGAGATAAAATCGTTTTATTATCCCAACATAGCAATTTTAAATTTTGAATTGTAGTAATAGTTTGGTCTTGTAGTGTCTTAATACTTTGAAAAGGCGTTCAGTGCAGTTCTGTTACCTATTACTGTACAGTTTTATGTTTGCAGTTCATACTTCTGGGGGAATTCTACACCAAAAAAATTAAAATTCTGCACACTATTTTAAAATTCTGTAAAATTCTGCATATTTTATTTGTCAAAACACCACAATATAATCACACTAGTTTCAATTATTTTGGTAATTTATTTCAAAATACCTGTCAGCAAGTATGTCTGTAATTATACAGACAACAAAAAAAGATTCA